AGATGGGGACCTGAAAGCGAGAGCACCCATGATACTTACCATTGGGACGTATATATAGGGACTGAAACGTATCCATGGGAACATTCAATTTGTAGTATTGAGGAAATCATGCTGTTGACCTGCCGTCCTTTGGCTGTAGTAACACTTTTGTGCAACTATTAATATTGAGCGATTACTTATTGCCCAAACTTTAAGTGGTTCACAAGTACTTGGAGAGTATATACCGTAGCTCTGTCAACACTGAGAGTTACACTGCATCTATGTCCTCATTTCACAAATTGGCAAGCAACTCTGAATGCAGGGGCACATACCGTAACGCACTCAGTTTGTTGGTTTTTAGCCTGCATGCCAAACCAGTGATTTGCGGACATTTTACCTGCTATAATGGTGCTAGCTGAATCAGAAGATGGCTTGTTATTAGCCACAGTACATCTGTACTCTCCTCCAGTAGTCACAGTCAGAGAGTGGGTGTACTGTGCAGTCATGTGGTCATTCAACACAGTCTCAGTTTTGCTCTCCAGTGGTTGACATTTGTCTCTGGTCCAAGTGACATTGGTAGCAGGTCCACCAGTGGAGATAAAGGTGAGGGTCAGCTGGCTAGGGTCAAATGTCACTCCTCCAGATATTGAGATGACTCCTACAGTAAAGAACCAAAGCCTAAGGTCCTAATTGCTAATCAGCAAACGTAAACGTAAGTGAGTGCATGAGTTTGGGCATGTATGTGGACAAAAGAGGAAATCATAGATGCATCATGCCTTTTAGCTGATCCAATGTAACAAGAATGGAAGTAGGTATAATTAAATTTACCTCCACTGGCAGTATACAGTCCCACATAGACTGTGTCTCTCACTGAGATGTCAGTCATGCATGGACAGCACAGTTGAATATCACAGCGATAGATACCAGTTGGTGAGTTGCCATTGTTCCTACGACGTATATCAACTCTCTGAGCTTCACGAGTCTCATAGATATCACCACTATCACTAGCGAATATCACTCTATCTCCACCAGGGAAATACCAGTCTCCACGATGAAAACCATTAGCACCACTACAACATGTCTGCAGGTCAGTGATACACTGAACACCTTCACCACCATCAAAATCAGGTCTCCCCACTAGACTGATGTCCACATAGGAATTGTTGGCCAGAGTCTGGCCCATGAAGGAGAGACGGGGAAAGATCTGAGAGTGGACCTCCACCAGAGACCAGAGGAGACTCAACAGAGACACAATTCTCATCATTGATCTGTTGCACATCACTCACACCGCGCCAACTGAGCAACTGAGTTGACACAGCCTGATGGATAGCAGAGATAAGACACTCCATATAATAATGGGAAACAGAAAATTCCGGGCGTAATTTTATCAACGTATACTCATGCGCTAGCAGCTTTAATGTACGTGTACAATGTCCACAAGTAGTATATACACATAAACTACATTGAAACAGATTTAGTAGAGAGAAAGTCAGTCATGTGCTGGTTGCAGAGGTCCGGCACATCTTGCTGGACCCAGTGACTACAGTTGGGAATATGTCTGGAGAGGAGAGAGGGTGAGAGAGAGAGAGAGAGAGAGGAGAGAGGGAAAACAGCATTGTGTGCCATACAACTAATCTCCCACTAACTTCACAGTCAGGTCAGAGCAGATGGTGTCGTGGCAGTCTGCCATCTCTCTCTGCAGCACGTGATCATCATCTCCCTGTACCAACAGTTACACACACTTAGCTACCAATAATACTACTAGGCACTCGTCTTACAAACCATACTGTTATAGGTCTAGCACATTCGTTCTATATAGAGCACATTGATTATAGGGCTCTTGGGATCACTCTATGTTTGTTACGTACCCATATGATGAGAGTTGGGACAGAAATTGTCCACTTCTCGCGAGGCAAGCTGTCCTTGGGAGATGAGAACATGGCACGATAGTAATTGATGGGTCCAGTGAGCCCTCCTGGCCTGGAGAACGTGTACTTGTAGGCCTCCACCACTTCAGCCGGGAACTGATCTCTGTTCTTGACTCCCTGTGGCAGGCAACATGCAGAAAACAGTTCAGCTATACTGGAAGACAAATCAGTTAGAAAAAACATTTCTTTAGAAAAAAACTTTTAATTGACAGAAAACAGAGTGTGAATGAAGACACTTATGCATGAAGGTACCTCAAACCTATAGTTTACCTCTTTCTGCTATAGTGAAAGAGACCTACACAACGGGCTACATACTGAGGTGTGGCTGGTGAAGAGTTGCTCCAGAAACTGGTAGTCCTGGAGACTGATCAGAGCCTCAGGCAGTCTCGGGATCTGGAACAAGAATATGAACTGGAGAAAAGGAAGAGAGAGAGGGGGGGAGTAGTTTAGAGTAGTGTGGATGAGAAACTGACCCAAGATCTCCTCAACTGTGTCCAGCTATTCTCAAGGAACTTTTTGAACACCCTACATATTGAAATTGAATTAGTCAACTAACATTAAATTTCGAACCTTCCATGAGGACAGTTCAGGACAATATGTCTATCAACCAACTCCGGATACCTCTGAGTTACTCTCCTGCAATTAGGAAGATGTAATTAAATTCATTGGTGTTTGACCACACCCCTCACCATGAGACCACGCCTCCCCAGTCGTGGCCGACGAGGACGCAAGAGGAGTGGCCGAGGGCGGGGATGAGTTCGACAATGTCTGTAGTGAGGTGGTTGAAGGAGTATTCTGAGGACCCCACTGGGTGGTCCGTGTCACCATACCCTCTGTGGAGAGAGAGAAGCTCATAATTAAGGGGGTTCCTTACAACATTTTTAAAAACTTCATTGGTAGAATTCTATTGCGCTCACGCAATAAGGGTGAAACTTTTTATTAAAACGTTCTCTTTTTTACACTACCTCATATCGACAGCCACCACGTGGTAGTCTTTGCAGAAGGCCTTCAATTGATGACGCCACGAAAACCAGAACTGTATAAAACATTACGGGGGAAAAGTGAATGTGTGAGATGTGAGGAGTGAGAGAGGTGACCTCGGGGAAGCCGTGAAGCAGCAACATGAGAGGTTTGGACGTGTCTCCTGCACAGACGCAGTGGAACTTTAGTCCATTGGCCGTCACGTACTCGTGGGAGCCCAGAGCAGGGTCCAGCAGACAGGCTGGAGGAACTATTCAATTCCCACACTCAACCACTGTTTTATTAGAGCTAGGCACTTACTGTCTCTAGCTGTCCTTTTCATCACTTTGCGTGGGTTTCTGAGGAGCGCGAAGAGCACGTGCAGTAACTGTCCTACAGCGTACACACAAAACAGAACGGCTACAGCAGCCAGCAAACATAGCTTCTTCAGAGACATCTTTGGGATGCATGCACTATGACCTTCAGATTCACAAAAATATCACGTCATAATGAAGTAGTTGGTAAATTCACCAGCATTATACACACAAAAGGTTTTTGCTGAGTGATGTAAAAAAACGATGTCAAATTGCAATTGAAAGAGCAATCTTAAAAACGAGTAAAAACAAAGGTGAAGACAAAATATAATACTTCAGCTACAACCTCATTTATACACACAGAGTGTCAGTGTCAGACAGGCTCATAGGTGTTGTCTCCAGCTGCAGGTCGGGACGATGAGGTGGGGGGAGGAAGGTTTTGTGGTACTTCATAATCATCTTCAGCTGTCCTTCCAGTCCCTCTCACTACATTGTAGGCCTCATTACTGGTGGTCTGGAACGGACTTCTGCAGAAAAGACAAATTGCGTGAACCTTCATAATTATAATATTATTCTTGAGGGTGTTTCTTACGCGTAGGTTTCGTCTGATATCTTGGAGAGTTCTAGAACTGTAGCAGCAGATCCAGGAGCATCCACCATCTCACTTCTGTATGTGTACAGCATACATAGAATAGGTTGTGGTGAGTGAGGAGTATTAGCATGCCTTCTCTTGGCAGAGGTGGAGTAGTTGCCTCTCTGACGTCTCAGTAGCAGAGCTATCACCACATGTAGAATGAGGGTTGCTGCAGCAATGATCAATACAGCCCCTACCACTCCACCAATGGTCGCACCACTCTCTGATTCACTCGATGAACTCCTTGCTTGGATATCATTACTGGCTGAAAATTAGACACCAAAATATGTGGCAAGAATTAAAAAAGTGGCGATTTGACTTTACCACCAGTAGAGAAAAGTATGGGAGTGCTGTCAGTGGTTCCAGCTACATTAGTGGCTGATACAGTGAGTGTGTAGATAGTGGAGGGGTCCAACTGGTGGATGGTGTAGGTAGTGCCAGACAGAGGACCACTGGTGCTCTCAGTGCCTCTGTCAGTGGGTCTCCAGACCACCTCCCAACTGGCCACCCTCCCACTGGACACACTCCAGGAGAGGGAGATGGAGGTGGCTGTTATGGAGCTCACTGACACAAACACCTGTCCTGGAGCTGGGACTGGAATAGGCGATTACCGAAATGTAGGGCCCTATCTCTCTCTTACTTAGTGTGATTTCAAATGTGGTGGCATCACCGAAGAGGTGTTCAGATGTGGCTACAATGGATATGGTGTATGTCTGTCCATTGGTGAGACCAGTCAGAGTGTAGCTGTTGGTAGAGCCACCATCAATATCCACATCACTGCCTCCAGTGAAGGAGATCCTGTAGCCAGTGGTATCTCCCAGTGGAGAGGGAGGAGTCCAGGTCACTGTGATACTAGTGGGACCATCCTGGACAGCTGTCACATCAGTGGGACGCGGGGGACCTGAAAGTGAGCTGATATCATTACTGAATGACACATTGCATTACAGTAGATACCCTCCAATGTGATGCTAGCTGAATCAGAAGATGACTTGTTGTTAGCCACAGTACAAGTGTACACTCCTGCAGTAGTCACAGTCAGAGTATGGGTGTACTGTGCAGTCACTGGGTCATTCAACACAGTCTCGTTTTGCTCTCCAGTGATAATGACATTGTCTTTTGTCCAAGTGACAGTGGTAGCAGGTCCACCAGTGGAGATACAGGTGAGGGTGAACTGAGGACTGGCTCCATTGAGGTCAGACTCCACTAACACATCTCCAGGAATGGAGATATCTCCTGAGGAATAAGTATCAGTTGCACAGGCAGATCAGGTTGTGATGCATACCTCCTCCACTGTTGTAGAGTCCAACAGAGATTTGTTTACTTCTGGATATAGCATCATCTATTAAACATTGATATATTCCTTCAGCTGCAGGATCAGTAGCAGTGTTCCTCAACAGTCTCACTACCATAGAATCTCTGTTTCTGGTAAATCCTGGAACATCAGTAGTACCAGGACCACCCACTCTGGTCTCGTCTGGAGCAAACCAGTTTCCTCTAGAATTAGCATCCATTGGAGGACGGTTAGTGATACACAGTAGAGCAGTGTTATCAGTGGAGCCAATGTCACTGATATCCACATAGCCATTATTAGGGATGATGCTACCATTCAGACTGAGGAAGACATCTATAGTGCATGATGAAAAATGACAAACAAGTGAAGAACCTAAAATAGGATACACAATCGCTCACCATCAGGAGTTTTAATGATGAGAGGATCACTATAGACTCCAGTACCAGAGCTGGTCACTGCTGTCACTTGCACAGTGTAGACTGTCTCTCTAGTCAGTCCAGACACTGTGGTCATTCCTCCACTGGAGTCTCCTGACACCATCTGAACATTCCTGGCTTCCTCGCTGCTCCCCTCCTCCCCATACCTCACCCAGTAGCCTGTTATCTCTCCATTCTGATGTCTACACTCCACTGGTCCCCACTGGACTATGATACTAGTGGAACTATTGACTAAGACTCTCACGGAAGAGGGAAGGGCAGATGGAGCTATGAGTGAGAGAGGTTCAATAAAGAGAGATAAATACACACTAGGATACTAACCAGCAGTCAATGTGGTGGCTGTGGTGCTGCCTTCTTGAGTCCCTCCATTCCCAGTCAGAGTGGCAGTGACAGTGATAGAATACTCAGTTCCCTCCTCTAGACCATCCAGGGTGTATGATGTCCCACTAGCAGGGATACCACTTCTGGAGTTAGTGAAACAGTCGGTGTTAGTGTTGGAGTAGGAGATGGTGTAGGAGGTAGCAGTCAAACTGTCCTCCAGTGCCCATGAGATGGCGAGGGAGGTAGAGGATGAGGGAGTGGCCGATACAGTCAGTCCATCTGGTGGGAAGAGAATGAGACGACCACAGAGTATACTAAACATCGTCTGGGCAAGTTTTCAGGGTTGATACAATTCTGTTTAGTGTGTGCAAGTTGGGATGACAGAGCAATATTCACCTGGAGTCTCTACAGAGAGGGTAGTGGAAGGTCCAGTACCAGCACTATTGACTGCAGCTACTGACACAGTATACTGTGTGGATGGAGTCAGTCCAGAGATCGTGGCTCGTCTAGCGTCTACATCAAAACTAGCAGTTCCTTCTCCCATTCCACCCGAGTTTGTTGCAGTAACTGTGTAGCCCGTGATTAGTCCATTTCTCTGGGGACAAGGCACCTCTCCCCACTGGACAATGGCACTGTTTGGTGTGACTGTATCTAGAGTGATTGGACCAGGAGGACCACTGGGAGCTGTGGAGAGTAACACCAACCATATTGTAAGGAACTTGGGGATTATACAGTACGCCTTACCAGTCGCAGTAGTCATTGCAGTGACAGCATTACTGACAGGACCACTACCAGCTCCATTAGAAGCTGTCACAGTGATGGTGTACCTATTGCCTGGCTCCAGTCCAGTTATTGTACGGCCAGTGAAACTACTGCTAATCTCAGTGATACTACCATCATCACTCAGACCAGGACAGACAAGTGAGGTGTCTCTCTGCCACTGGACCACATAGCCAGTCACCACTGAGCCACTGGGAACACTACCAGATATAGCGATGGTAGTCGTAGTGACTGTTGGAGTTGAGTCGAGGACTGGAGCAGAAGGAACTGTGGTGGGAACAAAGACACTACACAATGAAGAGCCTCTCCTAGGCAAAACTCTTCTTTTTTCTTTGGAAAAAAGAGCTGTCCTGGGCATAGTTGACTTGTTTGCTCTGCCTTTGCCCTGCTTGCTACAGTTGTTGACACATACTTTAAGTTAATAGGTTGTTTGCGGTGCTCTCTCATTCTTGTGTAAACTGAAACACCTACATTTGTGTGGAATGACATACCTAAACCAACAGTGGACTGTTCTGGTGCACTAGGCAAGCCAGATGATGTGGCTACAATGGATATGGTGTAGGTCTGTCCATTGGTGAGACCAGTCAGAGTGTAGCTGTTGGTAGAGCCACCATCAATATCCACGGCACTGCTCCTCCAGTGTAGGAGATGGTGTAGCCAGTGATACCATCCAGAGGATCAGGAGGAGTCCAGGTCACTGTGATACTATTGGGACCATCCTGGACTGCTGTCACATCAGTGGGAGGTGGGGGACCTGAAAGCGAAGCACTCAATGATACTATACCATTGGGAAGTATATAGGGACCTGAAACGTATCCATGGGAACTTTCAATTTGTAGTATTGAGGAAATCATGCTGTTGACCTGTCGACCTTTGGCTGTAGTGACACTTTTGCAACTATTAATATTGAGCGGATTACTTTATTGCCCAAACTTTAAGTGGTTCACAAGCACTTGGAGAGTATATACCCGTAGCCTCTGTCAACACTGAGAGTTGAATGTGCATCTATGTCCTCATTTCACACAATTGGCGAGCAAAGCTAGCCTGTCTGAATGCAGGGGCACATACTGTAACGCACTCAAAATATTAGAACCGCTTGCTTCACTTGCCAAAAATGCGTTCCATTCCTCTAGTATTTCGTTGGTTTTTAGCCTGCATGCCAAAACAGTGATTTGCGGACATTTTACCTGCTACAGTGGTGCTAGCTGAAGCAGAAGATGGCTTGTTATTAGCCACAGTACATGTGTACTCTCCTGCAGTAGTCACAGTCAGAGTGTGGGTGTACTGTGCAGTCACTGGGTCATTCAACACAGTCTGGGTTCCTTGGGTGACAGTGGTGGAGTCTCTGGTCCAAGTGACAGTGGTAGCAGGTCCACCAGTGGAGATACAGGTGAGGGTCAGCTGGTCAGGGTCAAATGTCAATCCTCCAGATATTGAGATATCTCCTACAGTAAAGAACCAAAGCCTAAGGGTCCTAATTGATGATCAGCAAAACATAGTAACTGTAAGTGAGTGCATGAGTTACTGGAATAGGCATGCATGTGGACAAAAGAGGTAAGTCATAGATGCATTCATGGCTAGCTGTCCATTTCTAACAAGAAATGGAAGTAGCCAATAATTAAACTTTACCTCCACTGGCAGTATACAGTCCCACATAGACTGTGTCTCTCACTGAGATGTCAGTATCATCATGGACAGCAATAGTTGGAATATCACAGCGATAGATACCAGTTGGTGAGTTAGCATTGTTCCTACGACGTATGTCAACTCTCTGAGCTCACGTTTCTCATAGATATCACCATCATCATTAGAGAACCCCAGTCTGTCTCCATCAGGGAAATACCAGTCTCCACGATGAGGACCATTAACATTAATACAACATGTTTCCAGGTCAGTATGACACTGAACACTGTCACTACCACTGCCATCATTCCCCACTTGACTGAGGTCCACATAGGAATGGTTGGCCAGAGTCTGGCCCATGAAGGAGACATAAGGAAAGGTCTGAGAGTGGACCTCCACCAGAGACCAGAGGAGACTCAACAGAGACACAATTCTCATCATTGATCTGTTGCACATCACTCACACCACCAACTGAGCAACTGAGTTATCACAGGCTGATGGATGGGAGAGATAAAACACTCCTGATGACATATATGGAAAAGAGAAAATTCCGGCCCTCCACTGGCGTTTATCAACGTATACTCATGTGCTAGCATCTTTAAAATAACAAGATGTGTAATGTCCAACAATAGTACACATAAACTACATCTAAACAGATTTAGTAGAGAGAAAGTCAGTCATGTACTGGTTGCAGAGGTCAGGCACATCTTGCTGTACCCAGTGACTACAGTTGGGAATATGTCTGGAGAGGAGAGAGGGTGACAGAGAGAGGGAGAGAGAGGAGAGGGAAACACTGGTCATACAACCTAATCTCCCACTAACTTCACAGTCAGGTCAGAGCAGATGGTGTCGTGGCAGTCTGCCATCTCTCTCTGCAGCACGTGATCATCATCTCCCTGTATCAGCAGTTACACACACTTAGCTACCAATAATACTACTAGGCACTCGTCTTACAAACCATACTGTTAAAATTAAGGAATATTTTCTAGAGCACATTCGTTCCATATAGAGCACATTGATGATGTAGGGCTCTTGGAATCACTCTATAGTGTTTGTATGTTTGTTGTGTACCCATATGATGAGAGTTGGGACAGAAATTGTCCACTTCTCGCGAGGCAAGCTGTCCTTGGGAGATGAGAACATGGCACGATAGTAGTTAATGGGTCCAGTGAGTGCTCCCGGCCTGGAGAACGTGTACTTGTAGGCCTCCACCACTTCAGCCGGGAACTGATCTCTGTTCTTGACTCCCTAGAGCAGGCAACATGCAGAAAACACTTTCGCTAGACCTTTGAGAAGATATCAGTTCGGTGCTAAGATTGGCAGGAAAAACTTCGGCAGAGTGTGTTTTAATTGACAGAAAACGGAGTGTGAATGAAGACACTTATGCATGAAGGTACCTCAAACCTATGGTTTACCTCTTTCAGCTATAGTGAAAGAGTCCTACACAACGGGCTAAATACTGAGGTGTGGCTGGTGAAGAGTTGCTCCAGAAACTGGTAGTCCTGGAGACTGATCAGAGCCTCAGGCAGTCTCGGGATCTGGAACAAGAAGATGAACTGGAGAAAAGGAAGAGAGAGAGGGGGGGGAGTAGTTTAGAGTAGTGTGGATGAGAAACTGACCCAAGATCTCCTCAACTGTGTCCAGCTATTCTCAAGGAACTCTTGAACACCCTGCATAGTGAAATTGAAAGCCACATTAACAATAGTCAACTAACATTAAATTTCGAACCTTCCATGAGGACAGTTCAGGACAATATGTCTATCAACCAACTCCGGATACCTCTGAGTTACTCGCCTGCAATTAGGAAGATGTCCATTGGAGTTTAACCACACCCCTTACCACGAGACCACGCCTCCCCAGTCGTGGCCGACGAGGACACAAGAGGAGTGGCCGAGGGCGGGGATGAGTTGGACAATGTCTGCAGTGAGGTGGTTCAAGGAGTATTCTGAGGACCCCACTGGGTGGTCCGTGTCACCATACCCTCTGTGGAGAGAGAGAAGCTACATAATTAAGGGGTTTCCTTACTACCTTTTTGATTATTTTCTAAACTTCATGGGTTGAATTCTACTATATATTATGTCCACGCAATAAGAGCAAAAATAAAACATCAGAGCAAGCTCAATTATAAATTTTAGTAAAACTTTCACATGCACTGGGTTCAATGCTCTCTTTTTTACACTACCTCATATCGACAGCCACCAAATGGTAGTCTTTACTGAATGCCTTCAACTGATGACGCCACGAAAACCAGAACTGTATATAAATGGGAAGTGAATGTGTGAGGAGTGTGAGATGTGAGGAGTGAGAGAGGTGACCTCGGGGAAGCCGTGAAGCAGCAACATGAGAGGTTTGGACGTGTCTCCTGCACAGACGCAGTGGAACTTTAGTCCATTGGCTGTCACGTACTCGTGGGAGCCCAGAGCAGGGCCCAACAGACAGGCTGGAGGGACTATTCCATTCCCACACTCAACCACTGTTATATTAGAGCTAGGCGCTTACTGTCTCTAGCTGTCCTTTTCAGCGCTTTGCGTGGGTTTCTGTAAAATCAACTGATACAATTTTAATCGTCCCCGGGAGTTGAAAAAATGAGAGGTCACTTAAAGTAAGGTTTATGTGCATTGTTCTCTGTAGGTCAGGTGGGTGGAAATGAACATTCCTTTCTTCATTCGTGTCAAAGACGACAATAACGAGAAAATAGCACAGGAAATGGTGCGAACTCCTCCTTAGCCCAGTATACATACACTACAGCTATAGTAAGTACTGTAGAGTGGGTGTTACACTATGTTTCTTCCCGTAACAGTCTCGACTTAAGAGATCTTCATCAGTTCAAGGACTTCAAGGAGTGCTCTTCACGATTGATGACCGACTTTATTGAGAGAGTATGTTTAACCATACACAGACACTTTGCAGTGGAATATTGACACATTGTCCTTATTGACAGTTCATTGGATAGTGTTCTTTTAGTGCATAGCTGATTCGAATCGACCAATCAGATTTGTTAGTACGAGGTTCCTGATTTCTCATATGAACCTCGTGAGCTAACAAAAGTAACATGAAAACATGATATGAAACCTTGTTTTTTCTGTTGATTTTCAACAAGTTCAACAGCATTTCATGTAAGAAATGTATCCCGCAAAACATGATCTGTACAAAATGTTGATCAAAATAACTGATATCTTGATTTTCTTTTTCCACGAGACAGTTTTCTGTGTCTGCTTTGAGCCCATCTCCTTCCTTGCCATGTACATATAGATATATAGCTAGCCAGGCAGCTCACGCCCGCCCCACAAACCACCGCACGCAAATAAGGGGGTGGGGCTCCGCGAGCGAGTGCGCGCGACAAAGCTACTAAGTCTACGGCGAACGCCTTCGGTATAGCAGCCCGCACAGCGCCTGAATTCTCCACTCTCGCCTCTCTCTGATTGCGATGGTTCGTGCAGGTCTCCTGTCGCGTTTCTTCGGATGAGTGGCGGAGGACAGTCCCACAGCGGGAGTAGCTAGAGCGGCGGAGCAGCGTATCCTAGCGTTCGGCGTTCAATAGTCCCGCACGAGATGACGGTCTTGCGCTCTCGTCCCTTTCTAGCATCTTTCAAATTCCCTGTGCTTGGAAACGCGGCAGTGCGCGTATACGGAGCTGATTTGCTCTGCACTAAACATGTTATGTACTCCGTATACTCGGGACATACCGGATTTCAATGAACCCTCGAGCCATCCGCGTAGTGCCCTCGCTGCGCTCGGGACGGACACTACAAACGCGGAGGCCCTCGGGTTCATTGAAATCCGGTATGTCCCTCGCACGTAGTACATAACATA